TATATGTGATTTGGGTTAAGCTAAGATCCGGCGACTTTACCCAATACCTAGCTTCTTACCCCTATTTGAGCCACAATTATACAATCATAAATTAGTATTTCAATATTATTTTTGGTCGAAATAAAGTAAAACACTTATCATAGCATTTGATCCAATTAAACAACAAGTCCATTAGGTGTGAAATAGTCCAGGCCCACCTGAATTTGGCCATATAAGCATTAACCTCCTGAAAGAGGTTAAGGTCTTTGACTATTTTTTTTTTCCATAGAGAAAAATAAAATAACAACACGTTTGTTTTGAACCGTAAAAAATGAAAAAAACAATTATTTAGATTACAAGGATCTTTTATTTAAGACAATTTTGTCTGAGTGAGACAAGATTATTACACATGGTAAAACTCAATTTCTAAGTATTTAATACGGTCCCATTTATTAAAACATAAATTTGAAATCATGGTTTAAATTTTATTAATTAATCCACATGTTAAATAGTAAACAAATCACCTTATTTAATTAATTAGAACAAGTTTAATCAATTTGTTTAATTAATTAAACTTAATTGAAATTGAATTTCTCAATTTATCTATTCAAAGATATAGTTTTGGAAGCTTTGCCTTAACCCAGCAAAAGTATTGTTTGAAAAAACGTTAGTCTTCATAAAGTATATAATCTTTTTTGTTTAAACAGAATTTAATTATTTTTTCTAATCTAAATTTTCAAAAATAAAAAAATAAAAAAATAAAAAAATATTGCGAAAGAACATGTAATGCAAGAATATAGAAAAATTACTCCTTGTCTGGATGGTCATCCTTGTTTGAGTGGAACTATAGCCAAAAGTTAGCATAATTTTTGGAGCATTTAGAAGAGTTCTATGGTCAGACAAAAAATGAATTTTATAAAAAGAATTTTTTATGAATAATTTTTAATTTATTTTAATAAACTTTTCAATATAGCATAATTTATTAAAATAAATTCTTTTCAATTTATTCTAAAAGAATGATAGTAAATTTTATGGTATAAGTTTTCATATAAAAGAATTTATTAAATAAACATTACTTAATATTCTCAAATGCACTGTCTTTACCCCTTATTTTTTGTCAAATGTACTGTACCTTAATGAGTGTTGGATTTGATTTCTTTTACTTTCTGGCCTAACTAAAGTCGCTTCCTGATTCGACCTTGTTTTTTTTTTTTCCTAACCTTGCCCTTTGAATTTTTTTTCCCATTCCTTTGATTTATTTTATTTTTTTGACTAAGTCATTCCTTTGATTTTTTTTTTTGGTCAAAAGTCATTCCTTTGATTTAAGTTGCTTTGTCTGTTTTTGGCAGCGGGCTTTTGGGCCTTTTATCCACTTCGGTAGGCTCATAGCCTGCAATGAAATTTGGGCTTAACAGTAGCCTTCCTATTATTGTTTCCTTGTCCTTTTGCCTGTCATCAATAACGAAAAAAAATAGTTTCTTAGGAGTAGTTAGACACTTGAAACGAGTTTAAATTAAAATGATTTTATATTTAAAAAATTGGTATCGAGAAAAAAAAAACTTTTGATAAAGCTTAACATAAAAAGTTTCATCTTAATAATTATTTTTTCCTTTAAAATAAATAGAATATATATATATACACACACTTTTAGTTAAATGTGTTTTTTTGGAACAAATTTTAGTTATACGGTCTCTTTTTCAGATTTGTGAATTATTTTTCTTAGGAATTTTATGATTTTGAGATGCTATAAATATATTTGGTATGCCTGAAAACTTTTTTGCCTTCCCAAAATTTTTTATTTTAATTTATATTGTAGATATATTATGTTGAAAAATTCAGAAAGTATTTTTTTAACTCTTTTTGAAAACCATACTAAAGATAGATATATAAGATTCTTAAAAAAAATTATGCAAATATGAAAAAAAAACCATCCTCACGAGACATCTTCATAATTTTATTTTATCTTTTTTGCTATACATCTTCATAATTTTATGAAACAATAAATATTATTTTTTAAATAAAATATCATTTTTCACATTCAAAGTCAAATTTGGACCGCATAATTTTTTTATGAGATGAAAGTAGGTCAAATTGATTGAAAATTTTTATAAAATAAACTTTTTAAAGTTTAATATAACCTTTTTAATTAATGAATTAAATTTATGTTTTTTTAAATATTTAATTAGTTAAATACGTTAAATTTGAGTTTAAGAAAAAAAGTTATTAATTTTGATAGATTGATTAATTTAAAATTTATTAATTTTATAATAATATATAAATAATTTTTATATATTAAATATAATATATTTAATAATATTATATGAAATAAATAAAATGTTAAACTTGATAATGTTAAATACAAATTTTATAATTTTTGATAAATATTTATTTAAATAATTAGATAACCTATTTATAAAGAGATTTGATAACTTATCAAATGTCTTGATAAGAAGAATATTTAGTCCTTGTTTTATATAAAAAAATTATTAAGAATGTCAAACAAAATTTTATGTAAAATTTATAACAAATAATAAACTATACTTAAATTTTAAAACTATCAAACAAGATAAATCTACTACTTATACAAAGTTTAACTTTACTTTATCTGCTTTTGACCATAAGTCATATAAATTAAATTTAATAAATAATTAATGTAAATTTTTAATTTAATTAAATTACTTTGTAAACATTTATAATTTTATTAAACTCTAAATAAGTTTTTATAGTTTAAATTTTTTTAATGAAGTGCGTATATTTAAAAAAAATAACTCTTTAGTCATTAATAATAAATGGAACTCTATTAATTTTTTAACAGCTGTTTAAAAGAACATACATCATAAAGATCTATTTAATTAATTGACATCATAACAAAGCATGTTCTTATATTAAATCCTAGTTTTCAAATAAGTTATTACAGTTTAGTAAAAGTTAATATCCATGAACAAATGAGAACCCATTTTTAGAAAATTAACACGTATAAATTTTATTGAAAATTTTTAAATTATGAGATCTTATTTGAAAATCCAAAAAAAATTTAAGAACTTATAAAAATTTAAAATTTTTATATGAACAAATGTATATCTTGAAAATTATTCAATTATTTAATATAAAATAATAATATGTCCATAGTTTACAGAAATCTATAATATAATGTTAAACATATCATAAAGTCTCAACTTTTCATTAATCTCTAATTATTTTTAATTCATATTATCTCTTAATTTGAAGTATTTTTATTTTTATTCCAAGTCTTATATTCAATATTTTTTTAAAGAAAACCTTCAAGCAAATCCATATAAGGACACCGATAATTAGACATTGAGCTTTTATATATACAATTACGTTCTTTCTATTTACTCTCGTCAAACGCATTCTAATAAAAGTAAACATTTCGCTTATATGTTTCTTTTAATCATGAAATATTGAACTTGAAAAATGACACAAACATGTTATCAATACAAACTTTTGAAGTTATTTTTTCATGGTAGAAAAAAAATTAAATTGTTCGTAAAAAAAATCACGAAATAACATATCTCATAAATATTACACCAATGATTATCATCGTCTCCCAAACAATAATCATTACAATATTCCACAAGTTTGAAATCAATAAGACAAAGGTATAATTACTCAAAATCAATTCTACGTTGTTTAGGTAATAAAAAATCTCCAAGCAACTTTCACGTGGTTGGGTGTGTGGATTCATTTAATTAGTAAGTCGTTAAGCTAACATCAAACGGAGTATTGACTCTATTGAACCTCGTTGATGTCAAATATCATACTTGGCACAAGGCAATTTGAAAGGCATCTCCTTTTTCTCCATCAGCAGACTTTAGATTAACACATGATTCCATATTTCATGACGGCGTCATTAAATCATAATAAAACATTTTGAACATTAATCATCTCCTCTTGTGTAAGCTTATTGAGAAATTAATATTCCATGCCTCATTTGTTTCATCTCAAATTAAGCCTGAATATGATGCCAGGGGATTAAGTTTGTTGATCTAAATTTCATGTGACATATATTCGTTAGAGGACAAACTTGTAGAATATCTGTCCTATGATTTTAACCTAAAGAACATGTTACTGAACCATAAAAGGCAAATACAATATTATCTTCAAAGCGCTTGTTAACATCGTGATCCTTACAGCTAGTTCTTGATTTAACCATAGAAAGCATCCTCCATTTTCAAAACTTCATCAGCCCTCCTATAAATATACCCAATTTTGAAATTGGAAAATGCTTTATTTGAATTATTCTTAAATATATTGACAGAAGCATGTCTAACGATTAATATATATGTTATTGGGTTAGTATATAACCCTTTTCTCCGAATTGAAGTTGGTTCTTTTCCTACTTTTTGCTTATCATAAAAAATATTACTTTCCTCTTCAATTTTGTTTCTAGAATTTAAGAGCTATATTGGACTGGGCTTTCCTCATTGGATGAGATTAATTATTGAAAGCAGAAATTGCAGACGATAATTTAAATATTTATCATCTCTTAAATCGATACGACTTGATTGGAGTGGGAAAGAAATATTGGAACAGTATTAAAAAATGATTTGAGTGGAGTAAAATAACAAAATATTTTTAAAAATTAAAGATGCATTTATTTTTATTTTAAATTAAATAAATTGTAATGATAATTTATGTGCCCTTATTTATTCATTCCACGCACATTTTTTTTAAAGAATTAAATTCATAAAAAATAATTCTTTTCACTATCAAATTTCAAGCACATGAATATCTATAAGACCATGAGAGAACTCAAGAAACTTAAGGTAAGAACTGAAGTAACATTTGGTAGTTTCCATAACTCGTGAGATAATTCACCCAAATTGCAATATAACTGTAGCAGCATAACTTTCCTAATAACACATGCAGTTCATAAAATATACTTTCCTAAAATCACACTACTCACACCGAAAGTCACATAAGGTACCATCCAAACTCTATTACCTTCATTTTTTTTTTAAATTTAAAGTCATCAACCATTTTATTGGCGTTAAAAAAAATTAAAATGAAAAAAGACTCACATCTTGTTCTGGTACGAAATAGTCGTCAATCCTCCCATTCTCATACCATGCATTGCCTATCAAATCATCAACCTGGCAAGTTTGATCTCCAAAATGTTGAGGTATTTCGACACAAGCATATCCATTAAAATGACAATCCTCGTAAGGCATTAATAGGTCATTGATGTTAAAGTCATTCAAAAAACTTGCTAAGCAATGATCATGGTCATCTTGTGGTGGAGTGGATCCAAAAGGGTTCTGGTCATTCCAACTCGTTGTGATTAAATTCATCATTGGGTTGACTGAGTCATTGGCTGCATTGGTTGGCATCATAACCTTGGTGCACCTCATTGATTTTGGTTTAATCGTCATAGGGTGAGGGGATTTTGTTGGATCAATAATACCCAAGGAGTTTTTTGAACATCCAGGAGATTCAACTCTTAATTTGATAGGAATGTTGTTGCTATGATTGGGAACTTTGTTATGATTGTGCTTCTGTTCAACCTTCTTTCTCAAATAAGTATTCCAATAATTCTTAATCTCATTGTCCGTGCGTCCTGGTAATCGCCCCGCGATAAGAGACCATCTGTGATACAAAATAATAATAATAATAATAATAAATGGTTATTAACTATATATATATATATATATATATATATATATATATATTAATGTTTAAACTGCTTAAATTTGATAACATTGTTAAAATAATAATTTTCTTTCTTTGAAATAATTTTATAAAGTAAATTTGCATTTATTTTTCTAATATAATATCAGACTCAAATTAATTTAAATGTCACATAGTTTACTTAGAAATATTAATCATACACATTTTAAGCACTATATGTTTATTTTAAGGCATAAAGAGAGTATATTAAAATGTTCCACGTGTTCACTTTTAGCATACATAAAATGTTTTCTTTTTAACGTAATTCCATCTCCCTCGCAAAAAACAAGAAAAGGAATGAATCAAACCTATTCCCTAAGAGGTTATGTAGTCGGATAATGAGATCTTCTTCATCTGAAGAAATGTTTCCTCTCTTGATATCTGGCTTTAGATAATTCAACCATCGGAGTCTACAACTCTTCCCACATCGTTTCAAGCCTGCATTAATTACAAGAACACCAAACAAAATCATGAAATGAAAAAAAATGGAAAAAAGAATAAAAAATATTTCAAGGCATTTCAAATCGATAATATTCATTTGTGCTTTTAACAAAATAATTATCCATACCAGCTCTTTTAGAAAGCTCCCTCCATTTTCCTTCTCCGTGGAGTTGAACGTAGTTGATAAGTATTTTGTCTTCCTCAGCAGACCAAGCACCTCTGTTCACATCTTGATTCTCACAACTCCCCTTTCTTCCCATCTTCTCTCTTTCTCTTTCCCTATGCTTCGTTTCGTTCTTAACGTTTTTTCTACTCTATCCTTTTAATTAGATTTGCACGCGTATTTTTGGCTCCAATGCTCCCTTAAATACTTGCTCCGTTTTTTTTAAATTAATTCAATAAATCTAATTTATGTTCACGATCGTGATGACACTAATTTAAACATTTAAAGTAATAATATTTTATTAAAAACTATTTATTATATTAAAAATATTTTTATATTTTTAATAAAATAATTCCTTTTTTATAAGCATGATGTTAAGGTAACAGAGAGGCAAAGACATATACGTATATTGTAATAACGAACATTATTTACCATTTTGAATTCAATACCAAAAAGAACTTTTAGGCCAATCATTTATTCATCTCCATCGCTATCCCTGTACTACACTTAAGGAAATATATCATCAATATACAAATTTTCAAATATTTGTTTTGAATGTGGATATTTGTACATGTTTTTCACAATATTGATTTTATAAATTTATATAACAATTTTAATTGGAAAATATTTTTATTGGTATTTTGTTTTAAAAAATTATCAAAAACTTTCATTTTATTTTATAATCATGTGCCATATATATATATATATATATATCAGCCCCTCTGTATGAGAAGTTTCAATCTTACAAAATGTTTTTAGAATTTTAGTAAAGCAATATAATATTTTTGAACCCCACTTACCGTTGGATTCATAATTGCTTGGGTACCGTTTGATGTTCATTTTTAAAAAATAAAACTAACTATTAAATATATTTAAAAATAATGTTAAATTAATTTTAATGACAAACTTTAAAGTAAGGTTTAAAAACTGAATTACAGGAAAGTAATTCGAAAATATGAGGTGGTAGCCCATGTCATTTCAATCAAACGTAAAAGTAAAAACAGTAGCATGAAAATGATGACGAACAGATATCGAGTAAAGGGCAACGTGGTGGCTTAAAAACCAGCGTATCATGCTCAATTATCGTAACACACGGGTCCCTCCAATCTCATTTGTACGACAATAAACAGAAACATTGTATCTAACTACATTATATATATATATATATACACTCAAATTATTTATAAAATTGTAAAAACTGTTTTGGTTAATTTAATTTAATTTTTTTAGAAATTTTAATAAATTTTGATCAATAACTACAAATATATTTTAGACATTTAAAAGGCAAAAGAATCTACTCACTCTAAAAATAAGCCTTAATTATTTATTTCATATAATAAATTTTTATAAGTATTGGAATTAATTAATTTATTAAATTATATAGTATAATATATTATATAAATTACATACAAATTTGTTAGTCTTTGTAGTTATTTGTCTCAAATTTTATAAAAATTAAATATTATTAGGTATTTAATCTTATACTTAATATTTAATTATATTTTAAAAAGTATAATATATGTTAACTTAAAATTATTTGATGTAGTATCAAGTAATTTTTAAAATTTATAAATTTTTACATATTTAATTTACTTATTAAAAATTCTTAAATTAATAGTTAGATTAATGAATTTTATTGTTAAAGAAAACAAAATAACCAAAACTTAACAAGTAGATCTCTCCTCTATTTTCCTCCTAAGTAAATTTAATCAGTGAATAAAAAGTTACATGAATACAAATGTTATTTAATTAATAATTTGAAATTAATGAATAGACAGAAGTAAAATAAAAAAGAAAAAATTGTCATTTGCTTTTTAAAATTTTACGAGTGAAACTAATATATATATATATATATATATATATATATATATTATTTAAATTTTTTTATTCACATTAATATAAACTTAGAGCATGTATTACGAACCAATTATTTTGTGGGGGATAGGTAGATATAATTAATTTATACTGCTTGTCGACATATATATTAAGTGATTATTATAATAAGAAAAAGGTATATAATATTTATAAACTTATTTAAAAATTAAATATTTATTTAGTTTTTGAAATATTTGTAAATATTTATGATATGAAGTCCTTTAAATTTTAAAAAATATAAAAAAATTATTTTATAACTTAATAGAATAAAATTTTTCATATTCTTTGAGGGATTGTTTATACTAAAATTTACAATACACAAATTAATATCAAATGATTTTTTAGATGTAATTTTTTTAGAATTTCTGTATAAATAAATTATAATAATCAATTTTATTAATGTTATTATTCATATGTTTAAAACAATTATTAATATAAAAAATATTACATGGTTTATAAATTCGTATCAACTCTTCGGATCATATTAACCATACTCATAAGGTGCAAACACAATATACTTGTTAGTTGAAATATTTTACAACTTTAGTATAATATATAACCATACCTATTAATCTGACTAGTTAATCGATAATAAATATTATTTTTAGTGACAAACGGTTTAATATTGTTTAAAAAAAATAAATTTAAATTTTTATGTATTTAAAAAATCTTTAATGCATGTTAAACTTACTTACCATATATCTATATAAGCACCGTGTTAAATTTAGATTAAATTAAATAAAAAATTATACAATATAAACATAATTTATAATAATTTTTTTTTGTCTAAATCATATATATTTTTTATTCAACATAATTTTATTTGAGTCAAATAAATTATTATAAATAGTAATTTTTTTTAATATTTAACATAAATATATTTATTAAAATTCAAATTTAATATCATAAATTAAATTAAAATAATTCTGCAATAATTTATCTTACTCAGTAATCCAAATATTCGTATTAACAAAAATAAAATTGAATGAAAAGTTAAATAAGCTGCAAAAAAACAGCTCAAAAACTTTTTTTTATCTAATCGAGCTTTGACGCGGTGTTATTAAATTGAATAACTTATAATGCTAAATAGCTGAATTAAAAAAATAATACTTACAAAAATTATTAAATCATTACTTTGTATTCTTTATCACACATTATCTTTACTTATCAGAATGTTATTATGTATATTTTACTTTCTACAATTAAATTAATAAAAATGATTTTTTTCAATTAGTCTTTGTTAAAAAATTTAAAAAATCATTTTTTTTTCATAACACTTTCTTAAACTAGAGAAAGTGGGCGTCATAGATAAAAGTAACACGTCATATCGAGAACTCTTTTTTGACAATATTCAGAAAAAACAAAAAAAAAAAGTGGAAAAAATAAGAGGGAAAATCTTAGTGGTTCCGCTGAGGAGAGGGTCCCACCGTCCCATACCCAAACTACGAGAATATCATCATTTCCTGTCTTGTCACATTTTAGATACGTCTCTCGCAAATTTATTCAAGACAAAATCGATTCATGAGTCATGAGTCTTCTTCTTTTTTGCGTTTTACTTTATAAAATACTAAATAATAAAGGACTATAAACGTAATACTCTTAATTTTTTATTTTTTTAATGCTTGTTTAAAATTTAAATTTAGAAAAATAGTGTTACATAATTTAACTAACAAATCTAAGATCACAACACATGTTCGTGTATTGGTTTTACATATCATAAAATAGATTACATTTTTTAACAATTTAATATTATATTATCTTTCGTTGGTATAATTTTTAAATCAAAATTAATTTTTTAATATAAACACTTTAATATAATAATATATTAATAAATATTTCTCATTATAAAATATAAATATATATTATCAATACACAAATATTAATATAATATATATATATATTTTTTACTTTTTCAATGATTTTTCCTTATTAAATAAAAAATATATCAACAAATATTATCCTAATAATTGGTTGTCTTTTAGTTGTTAATAAATGACATTTTTTTATAATAATGTTTTATGAGATATTTGTTTTTATGATAAATACAGGTCACATAATTTTATAAGCATTTGTAATTTTGTTTTAATTAGTTTTATTTAAATTTATTTGTAAAATAAATTAAATTACATGTTTATAAATTTTTAAACTAAAATAACTAACACTAATTCACATTAAAATACATTATATTAATATTTAAAAACTAATAGCTGACATATAAATGTTTTATATAAAGAATTTTAGATGTCAATATAATATACTATACTATTAGTACAAATAAAGTCATTTTATTTATACTAATATTTTAATTTTTGTGTAAAAAATTCATATTATGATAGAAGTTAATTTATCAAGATATGACTAATAAATAATTTTCAGCTTCAAAAACTTGTATGAAGTAAATAAAAGAACTCAAATTTAATAATTAATGAATAAATTAAACTGGTCTATGTATAGTAAAATTCGACTCCTTTTCATCCTGAATTTCAAATTGCATGTTAGTGGATGTATACTGTAAATAGTTGGAGTAAAAAAGATACAATTTGGATGAAATGTCAGCTATCAAACATTCTGCCGAGTCCCCCACCTCTGCATGACTGCGTTCACGCCATGGATTTCGTGTCCCGAGTATGTGTAGCAAAGGTTCAAAAGCAAAATCCAATCATGTTCATGAAACAGCATCTTTTAACACCTTTATTAATGCGTGAGTTGCATGTTCAATCAATATCATTCCATTTTTCATGTCATTTTAATATTCTTTCTGTAGGAAATACATTGTCACTGATGTCATCCTCATCTCATCACAATCCGAAAGCAATTAGTTGGTAATTGCCAACACGTGATTTCAGAAAAGGGAATAATTAAAATCAAAGACAAGCAACGAAAAATGAGAATAAAGTCTCTGTTCCATACATAACCCTCGAAATAGTTATTCAACTATATTGCGATGTTACATTCATAGCATAATCAACGGTACGTACATTGCTAATACTACAAAATTTCTTCACAAAGTTCACTTTACACCAGTCACGCCAAAGTTAACATAATAACCAATGTTAAAATCTTTAAGGAAACTTGCTCAGCAGTTTTCTTGGTCATTGTTCTTGACCTAACCAAGGGCCCAGGCCCAAAACAGCAATGTAGGCTAAACACAAACTTGGATAACTAATTAAAATCAAGGTGCCAAGAACTGTCCAAAAAACAAAAAAATTGCAAAGGAGAACTCTTTCCAGAATCTTCCGTCATCTTCCGCCCTTGCACTTCATTAGCTCATATGAATAAATGTTTTGTAGAAAAACAAAGGAATAAATGTTTCTTCTCTTCAATACGAATGTACATACAGAAATGTAATGATAAATTTTATTTGTGACAAACCATTATATATCCTTGTTCATCTGGAAAGCTCTTTCACTTCCCCCATAAACACAAAATTTATGAAGCTCATAAGATTTTGTCTTTAACAGACCAAGCATCCTTGTTCATCATTTGTTTGTCACCCGTTTATTTATTATGTTTTGCGATAATGAAAATATAATTTAAGTTTGAATTTTATATTCTGTAAAAGCACACTGGTTGGTAGTCATGGAATACCTATAGTACATCATAAAAGACACATCAAGGAAAATATTTCGTATTAGCGATGCATTCTACACTAAAATCACTGCACGACTCTCCACAGAAATCGCTGAGAAAGTTAAGACTAAAATCAAGTGTCTTTTATCGTGAGCACTTTGATAGTTCAGCTGGGGTATGGCTAGGTTCGCGTGATGTACTACCCAGATTAGTTTCTTTCCAAAAAGATGAATGACAACTTTTCAGTTAAAATTAGGGTTTTGTTCTTTTGCCTTCCACTCAGTGTTTTCTTCTTTTGGTTCTGTACTTAATTAAACTCATCCACTCTGACTTGTGATTTGTATACGTGGTTATTATAGTTTTGATCATAAATATTTTCACAAATATATCTTTAATTCTATTTATGTTGTTATGTTCGGATAATTGTGTTTGAACATTTATATAGATGTATGTTCAGTTTTTTAATATTGTGATATCTCATTGTAATTAATATTCGTATTGATCGTGTACCAATACCATGCAACACAACCACTGATTGTCTCAACATGTTGTTGTTAGATATATCAACAAGTACTGAGCCTGAAAGACAGAGCGGTTGGTGAAAGAAAGTGCCAGTTTGAAAAAGAGTAACGACTGAATTCAAAATTTTGAGTGTGATATATAAACAATTTCCAGGTATCAAGTTGCACTTTCTTTAGTCAACATGGGGAGTGTTATAGTTAATGCGGAAAAAGGTGAAGTTATACAAAAGCTAGAACACGAGTTCTTGGGTGGAGAAAGAGCGAAAAGATCTTGAAATTGCAAACAGATATATACATTGGTGTGCGTAGAGAGAAGAAAAGATACGGAGATTGGTGAGTATGATGAGCACTTGTTAACGCAGAACACAAAACACCTTTCTTTAGTGTTTAAAGCCTTTGTCTAATAATAACGGCAGAGACAAATGGCTTTTCATATCAAAAGAAGATAGGATAAGATGACCATGAAGAGAGAAAATTTTCAGGTTTAATTTCACTTTTCATTCCTATATCTTAACTTAACTTACGTGTAATTTTATTTTTTTAGTTTTAATTGTTTATATTAAGTGTTTTTAATTTTTTAAATATTTAAATTAAAATATTTATTTTAAAATTTTATTTAATAATTAATAGAAATATAACTTTTTATTGATTTATATAAATAAATATATATAAAAAATATAAAATAAAATTTTTATTCTAAGGTAAATGAATTAATTTGAATATTTTAAAAATTAAAGAAATTAAATGTAAACAATCCAAAGAAAAAAAAAACAAACATAAAAAATGCAATGAAGTCAATTTTTTAATAAGAGATGACGAATACTCATGTATCAATAATTAAAATTAAAAATTGTCTAATGTATAATTATTTTAAATTATTGTGTAATTTGATGTTTTAATCTTAACTTTTATGACTAGATTTAACCGTTAAGATTCATTGCTTACGCTCTTATATTAAAAGCTTTTATTATTTGATATGTTATACATTATTTATATATTAAAATTTAAATAAATTATTAATTTTGTTCATTTCAATCTTCTAGACAAATTATTAAATTTTTATACCTGATTTTGAAAGTTTAAACTTAATCTTGTTGATGCTAATAAATTGATTAATTATTAATATGTATATAATTTTAGAGGGATAACATTTATTTATACTTTAAAATTATTATACATTAAAATATAATTAATGAATGAAGTTTTAAATTTTAAAAAATTATATATTTAATGAGAAGTGATCTAATTGAACAATCTGATTAATTAAATTTAATGTTTATAGAATAAAACTTACTCGCGTATGTATAGGGAGACGCACGCCTATTTCCAAAAAGGTTACATTATGAAATCTTTGCCAGTTCTATAATTCAATCATGAGAGTCTACACAACTGGGATGGAAGTAATTCATTTTCTAATACATTATCTTTAATATACTCTTTTTTTATTAAAATATATTAAAAACTAAAAAAGTACCCAAAAAATTAATTTAAAAGTGAAACTCACATAATTTTTATAGTTTTTAATAAATTTTAATTAATAATAAAAAAATATTACACAGAATATATTAAAAAAATACGTTGCTCGTTCCTTGTTATATAAAGCATCGTGCCATTTGAAATATAATGCACATATAAAAATGCAACAATAGAATTTTAATCTTGCTTTTACCCAAATTATTATACTCTTTGCATTCTATTTCTAAAAATAAATAAATACTTTTTCAAAATCACTTAATAAAAAAATTCGTTAAATAATAAGTGAAGATGATGTCAATTATTCATGGATAAAAAAATAAGAATCTTGTTAGTCAGTATTTTTAATATTAAAAAAATTAAAAATAATATTTTTTTTATTAAAAGTTATGTTGAACTGCAATAAAAATATAAAAAAAGTCATTTATTATATTTTATAGAAATTTTCTATCTCTAAATATTAATATAATTGTATTTATTATAATTTGAATTTAAGACTACATATTTAGGTAAAATATTTTTTTACTAGTTAATCTACATACTTAATAATTAAACATTATTATTACATCATAGAAGCATTTAAATTAAATTTTAACACAAAATCAAATGAATAAATAGAAGAATCATACAATTGTCAAGTCAAGCACAAATAAAAACTCACACCATAATCTGATAGTTTATTTTTTTTTAAAATCCAATCCCTAAGAAGAAACTGAGAACATGCCCAAGTCGGTGAATCAATATGGGAACAGAAACTTTTGTCTTCAGTCGAAGGATAAAAAACAAGGCCAATCAGCCCAGATGAACCAAGACCCACCCAATTCTCAGCTAAGACAAACCTAAACAATATTTATAAGTGTTAAAATGGAACACTACGTAAAGTTAAAAAAAAAACACTCCTTAAAGTGTACAGAAAAAAACTAACGGAGTATTTAATTTCAAAGAGAGGAAGGGAGGCAAAGAGAGAGAGGAAATATAAATCATTAAATATCTTATTTGAAAATAAAATTATTCTACTATTGCACTCTTATAATAACTAAATTAAATGTAAATATTTTTATAATTTATTTTATTTGTAGGTCTTAACTAATAAAATTTAAGGTAAAATCTATTTTAGTTGTAAATTTATCAAATTTTAATCTATTTCCATGAGAATAAATCGGTGAAAATAATGTTATATATATATATATATATATATATATATATTTGTGTGGAAAGAGAACATTTCTGAAAATGTAAAGTCTGAATACAACATTTGTTTAGCTGAACTCATAATAAAAAGTTGATACACATCTTAGATATGACTTCAACAAGACCAGGGGCAGCATGAAATATATATGATTAATTAGTGAGGATCGATAAGATTATATGTTGTAGCACATTTTTTTAATTCGTTATTAGTTCAAATTTATTAAAAATAAATACAAAAAATAGTTATTAAAATAGGGGGGGAATTTTTATTTTTAATTAATTTTAATTAATAATTAAAAATATATTAGAGAGTGTGATATTATATTTTTATAATTAAATATGCTTTTAAGTATTAGCTAAACTATATCTTTGTCAAAACGTGCCTTCTAGTTATAATTGGGGATCCTCACCTTTCCATTTTAATTACTCTATTCTGTCAAACTCATTTATTTTTACTTATGTCATATGGGTTTGTTAATGAATGTTTACCTCATTGTATATTCATATTCTTATGATATACACACAACAGTAGATGGATGTTTACAAAGAAAATGTACATTATTTCAAAATAGGGCACTCCTCCTATGAGTGTTCGACTTCAAAACCATTTTTTAAAAATAAGAATGCCAGTGAACAATATGGAATCAATATCAGATTCTGCGAGTGTTCTACTTCAAACATAACTAAGAAGTAACTAATATTTATAGGCAGCGAACTTTCTGAGTTCCAGATGCGCTTTTAATGTAGCTGCAAGTTTGTCAATAAAGTATAGGTACTAGGCAAATTACTCGCCGCACGAAAGGGGCATGGAAAGTTTCAGGTGCTCTGGAGAAAATCGCAACTATGAATTCATTTAATGAAGTTGCTAGTGGACATGGTTGTGCCACCATGCAGCGTTGATGGGTTTTGTTCATTTAAGCAAGACATGGAATTGGACTTTGTCGACTTTTGAGTCACCTAACAATAAAAAAGTCATTGGTAGAAAACAAAAAACAGAAGAAGTCCCTCGAATGGAAGGATTTGGCATTTTTTTCACAACTTAGGTAATTTTGAAATTACCTAACAAGTATTTAATTATCAAAGTAGTATAAGTTATATTTACATGTGAAGTCCAACTTACATAACTTTATATTTCTTCTATTTTTATTATGTACATACGTTTTTTATGTTTAAAAAGCATTAAAAAAAACCACATTATTATAAATAATTACAGTTTTTTAAATAATAAAAAAATCAAAAGCTTACCACTTTAATAGTGTAAATTTTAACAAAATTACGAAATTGCATAAATTGTACCCATAGAGTTGACTTAAGTTTTTTTTTTAATGTGCATAGTTTTGTAAGATTTATAAACTGCTATTTATTATACTGATTTACATTATTTTTATAAAAAATCTTTAAAAATGCACTAGTTAAGTAATTTTTACTGAGAACTATCCCAATTGTGTAAAAATTTTAAACTTATGTAAATGCTGATATTATATTTGAGGAAATTAGTTAGAAATAATAAAATAAGAAAGAATTTAATGAGAAAGATATATCATATTAAATTGTAAAATAATTATGAATTTTTAAGTAATTAAAATATTTAAATAGAAACGACAAAATAGATGAATCCGATCAATCGGTCCAATTAGAACAGCTAAAACATAGGATTTGGGGATATGAATGGGATAAGCATGCTGTTGTGAAAATTTTGTATCCAATATTTTTATGTAAATGTCATCATTCTACTGTGAGCTCTATGTTTTATGGCTTCATTGGGTTGTAGGTTCGAAAACAAGGGTCATGATAAATCCTAAATATGCCACCTTTTTTGTTTGGATAGTGTTTGGACTTTTCCCTCTGCTTTCACGTTGAAGGAAGCCGTTTTTATTTTATTTTTTAAAATTATTGGCTATTCGTAATTTTGAAGATGCAAAATTTTAAATCTACAACGTGAATGTCTGTGAACTGAAAGAAGGAAAACTGAGATTAATTTTTGAATTGTTTTACTTTAAAAATTTAATCATGTATTTTTGTAATTTCTTGATACGGTTTTTTAAAAATAAAGACAGTCTATTAAATGTTATCTTTTAATTATTTGAAAAGTAATAGAAGATAATATAATCGAATGCTTTTAAGATTTTTACAAAGGAGACATTAATTTAATACAATATATTGAATATTTTTAATTATTACTTTTGTAACACTACTTAGGAGGATACAATAATAAATATTTTATTATTTTTTATCATTCTTTTTGTAATAATTAAAAAATTATATATAAAACCTAAATTTAATTAAAAAAAAAATGGCTACATTCCCATTTTACATTAAAAACACAATTGACTAAACAATACGAATTGAGCTGTTATAATTGGTAATTATTGGTTTTCAATTTTAACTATTTCATATTATGCACACGGTGATTGATTAAACGACCAACTCATAATTTTTTCATGCGTACGTAATGACTTTCTTTAACCTTTGCCATAAAACTCTAAACAATAGTTAATTAGTTTTAAACTGAAAGACTAATATTTCACGGTAATGATGCTATGCTTCTTCACAAAATTCATTCTAGTCATACCAAAAGTCACATTATTTTTCATTGAGAAACTTCAACCATTCGATCCATGCCTGTTAGAGTTTCGGAAAGAGAGTTTTTATATTCTCTTACTTGTATACCTAATAATGTTCTTATTACTTTATAAAACAAGTTTTAAATAAAAAAGAACAGATACATATTATCTTAAAATCATAACATACATTTAATATTCTTTATTCAAAATCATTCTTTAAGAAAACAAGAAAAATCTTCCCCTTGATCTAGTGGAAACAAGTCGATTAGTTTCCAACTCTCATGGCATGCTTGGTCTATTGAATCATCAAGCCAGCAAGTAGCTTCATCTCCAAAGTGCTCGGGTATTTCAACACATGCATATCCATAATGGGAATCCTCGTATGATATCATTAGCTGGTCACAAATTTCAAATGGTTTGTGGAAACCTGAAGAGCAATTGTCATGATCATCTTCTGGGGTGCATGCAGAAGGGTTGTGGCTATCCCAACACGTTACACTGTTCATTGTGTTGACTGAATCATTGGCTGCATACTTTGACACCATAACCTTGGTAGGGATGGAGGACTTCGTAGTAGCAATGCCATGGGAAGAATTTTTTGTGCACTCTACAGGTTCAACTCTTAATTTGCTTGGGACTTTATTAGAATGAAGGTGTGGAGTTATGCTATGGTTGCACTTTTTCTTCTCTAACTTTTTTCTCAAACGAGCGTTCCAATAGTTCTTGATTTCATTGTCTGTTCGGCCTGGTAATCGCCCCGCAATGAGAGACCACCTGTGCCACATATATAAAACCCATTTCTATTTTGATGATAGAAAAAAAAAATCAGAATCAAGCAAATGCATAATCATAAAAATATGTATACCTATTGCCTAAGAGATTATGTAGTCGAATAATGAGATCTTCTTCATCAGAAGAAATGTTTCCTCTCTTGACATCTGGCTTTAGATAATTCAACCATCTGAGTCTGCTACTCTTCCCACTTCGTTTCAAGCCTACACTCACAAGGAACAAAAATGAAATGGAAAATGGAAAAAGGATAATGGTCTTGCTACAATAAGTGTATTTAAATTACTGGTTAGCAAATTTTTAGAATACATTAAAAATTACTAAAAAAGGTATATTAATAAGATTTTCTGAGAAATTTTTTAATTTAATTCCTCAATGAATGCAGGATTAACATTTGCCTAAACTAGTTATCAAGCGGTTTGAAACACACATATATGTTTAGGAACGAAATGAAAAACGTTATTACTTGTGGTTTTAGCTAGCGAAATAATTATGCATTGCATATAGCCACATATGTATGTACCAGCTCTTTTGGAAAGCTCTCTCCATTTTCCTTCTCCATGAACTTGAACGTAGTTGATAAGGATTTGGTCTTCCTCAGCAGACCAAGCACCTCTGTTCACAGCATCTTGATTCTCACAGCTGGTTTTTCTGGGCATTTTCTCTATTCCTCTATGCTTTGGGTTCTCAAAGTTGTTGTGAATCTATTCTGTTGTTGGATTCTCGCGTGGTTTTGTGGGTTAATGCTAGCTCCCTTAAATACTTGCTCATATCACTTGCTTTTATGTGAATAAATTTAGAACACTTATATTTTTACACACATATTTTTATTATATTTATTTTGTATCTTCTCGCTCTTTTATGTCAGGTTTGAATATTACAATAGGAAGTATCTGATTAATCTGAGTTAAATGTAGCAAATTAAAAAATAATAATGTTATATTTGACTTTTAAAATAATATGAAATATATTTATTCAAGAAATGACAATAAAAAAAAACGGAAATCATAAATTTCATTCTTGATATTCTCTTCTAAAATTTCCAAAATTATTTGATGTCAACTTATAATTGCAATTGATAAAAAATGAAATTATATCAATTAGAAGAGATGGCATTTCTTTCTTTCATCATCAACAGGGTAAAAACCCAAGAAAACGTGGAGTTCATATTTTTCACGTCAAATCAAATTAATTTTATTTATTGACTATTTTTACAATTGGTTATTGTTCTTACTTACCCTACCTTGACGTTAGTCTTTCTTGTTTGCATTATTCTTCAATAAATCCTCTTTCTGAAGATCGCCTCTTTCTAAGTATTTTGACAATAAAATGAAATTACCCATATTAGTTCCGATAACAGCGACATTTATTACTTTATTGAAATAAGAGGAAAAATTAAAATATAATAAAAAAATTAATATAATTTTTAAATTTTTTTTTCATTTGACATAAAAAATATTTAGCTAAAATTATATAATATTTTAAAATTATTTTTTTATTATTTAAATACATGAACTACAGTAATTTTAAAATGAAGAAGAGAGAATTGAACGAATCTATAGACTCTTTTTCTTTATTTTTTAAAACTCTCAAATGAAAAAAGGTATGCAAAAGTCTCACATTCTTTTCTAAAATTTAACTTCAATCAAAGAGAATATTTAAATATTTTAATTAATAATAAATATTTTATTATATAACAAATAAATAAATTTAAATAAAAAATTATAAAACATACAAATTATAAATTAAGATTAAATAAAAAATAAATGCTAAAAAGATCTTGTCTTAATAAGAAGAGAATGATTAAATCTTAAAATTCCATAATTTAAATAATTTTTAAATTGCTATCATTTAAAATAAAACTTAAATTTAATATATAGAGGTAGATTAAAAAATGTAATTGATTTGATAAAAAATTCATGTTAAATAAATAAATAAATAATTTAAAACTAATTTATTAATACATATAATTAAAAAAATACTAAAAACATACTCTGAGTTATTTGTTAAAAAAAAAACTGTAAAATCATGTAAATATTAGTATTAATTTAAAATTTCATATTAAATCATAATTTTATAATATTTTAAAAATGTATTCTTAAGACTTTTCTACTTGAAAATGCAGAACCAGCATTCTTTTCTTTATCTGTTTATTTACTGCATTTTATTTTTTTAATATACGAAATTAGTCTTAGGTCTACTCACAATCTTTTTTTAAAAGTTAATTCATAAAATATAATTATCTAAGTTTTATAAAGAAAATATTATGAAGTTTATTATATTTTCAAAATATTTTAACATTAGTCTTTAAAAGATATATATTTTTTAAAATTTAATGTTTTTAATTTGAATTTAATTTTAGTTTATTATCATTGTAAATTTTTATACTTTTAACTAACTAGAATATATTGTACATAAAAATTTTATATCAACTATTTTAAAAAATAGAAATTTTTGCTAATAGGACAATTTTTTTTATTGAATAGTTGTACAAAAAATTATATTATAAGTATATTGAAATTAATTTTTTTTATTTTTAATAATGATGTGATTACTTAAAAAATTATTACATAATTAATTATATTATATCATATAAATGAAAGGAACAAAAAATATTAAATTTTAAAAAAATTAAACACTTATTTCTAAAATAAAAAAAAATTACCAAAATAAAATATTAAAAAACATGTTTAAGCCAAAGAAGTTATCATCCATGGCTCTAGGTTTTCTTCAGCAGTCTTTCATTAGGTGTGGTGTCGCTTTAGGAAGGTTGTGACATGTAACTTGGTACTTAAAAAAATTTGAAATTTCATTTTGATATCACAAGTGATTAACCTCACCCCGTCCGAGGAAACACCCCATTGTTATCTCTCAACAACTCGAATTAAGCTTCAAAATAATAATAATTATAAAATAACATTAATTGATGTCTTAAAAGTACATGCTGCATATACAATTCATATGAAACTTAGTTTATTTTTTAATCTAAATTGAATTATGGTTTTTTGCTTTATGAAAATAATCATATTAACAAGTATATCATAGTGATAAATATTTACATCATGTATGAATAAAAGTCTTCTACATATTAAACTTGTTAGCATCTGCGTGGACAATGCACGAGTGATGCCCAAGACGCCACGTGTCCTTTAAAGTAAATTTCCTGTAATGATCGCTCTCTGTCCCTCCCAGAAATGCAATGCAATGCATGTGTCGCATACGATGAAGCAATTTAACAATAATGAACGGAAAAAGATTTCTAATATATTTTGTATTTTTTTATTTAGTGTTTAACCAATATATTCTAACACCTGGATTATTAGTCACCATTTCTTATTAATTTATATATTTTTATTATTTATTATAATAATTTTTTTATTAATAATTATAATATTTTAAATTTATAAAATTATTAAAATTTAAAACAAGTATATAATATATTTTTAATTAATTATTTAAAAGTTTTATTTCAATTTAATAAATTTTACAAACTATAAAAATAATGTAATTATTAATACTAAATATTTTATTATATTAACTAAAATTAAAATAAATTATAAAAACTAAATTTTAAAAAATAAAAAAATTATTTGACGTGATGAAAATTTTATTTCTATAAATTCTATTATTTGAGAATAATTCTAAAAATATCCTATTTCAAAAATTATACTTATAAATTATATATAAAATTTTATTTATTTTTATAATGACTATTGATAATTTTTATTAACAATAATATTTATATTTCAAAGTTTAACGAGTTATGAGTCGACCTGCTTAATTTGAATATCTTATAATTTAAAAGTTTTCTATATTTTGTATGATTTTTTTTATAGTATCTTATAAATTTTAGAACAATATTATTTCTTTTGCAAGTACATTCCGACAAACGAACGTCGCACAGAATAAAGGAAAAAACCATTTCTTAAGATATTTTTGTCAATAATTTTATAAATTATTTTTTAAAAATAATATATATATATATATATATATATATATAATTTTAGGATAAACGTAACTTCTTAATAACTTATAGCACTGTTAAACATTTTCCAATTTTTTTTGCAACTCTAGGCCTTATTAGCTTAGCTATTAACTACTTTTGAATACTTGACTTTGAACTTATAAAGTGAAATGAAGTTTTGGACATCCTTGATCCAATAATTTTAAGACTATAGTTTTTTTTTTTTATAATTTCAGAGTAAAATATATATACTAGTGCTGCCCAAAATTACCTAATTAATGGTAACATCAATTAAGGAGATTTTTGGTATGGGACCAATTCTTTCTAGGTTTCTCAGTAATTTTAAATTAAAAATTTTATAAGAAAATATTTCTAAGAAATTAATATTTTATAAAAAAATTTAACAATGCTTCTTAGCAAAATATTTTTTATAGGAGTGAGAATCTAAGTCCCATAAAAGTTGAAAAGTTTTTATCGTACCCATAACAAATATTTTAAGCATATTAAATATATTAATATTATTTTGAAAAATTACTATTTTCAAAAAACACGATTTATAAAAAAAAACATTATCTGAGAAATGGAAAATATTTAGTCTTACTCAAAGAAGAAAACATTCTTTAAATGGCTTCTTCATAACTGACACTCATTAAGAGGATGCGTTTTATTACAACTTACTACAATGTGACTTATTTTATGTCAATTAATAAAGGAATGCATTTTTAATTACAAAATAAAAGGAAGTACGTTGTAATTTGAATTTCACGAGAAGATGTAATTTACCACCAAAAGATGAGCAATGAAAATGATGGAAAAATGTGGAAGATAAAGAAAAAAATTAATGATGGCTGTGAAGAAAATTTTGTGATCAATTTTCCACTGTAGTTTTGAAAACATGCCAATTGCAATATTTTCTGAACTTCATGTTCAAATGCACTAGCTTCCTACTCCTATAATTAAGATAATAATAATAAAAGTTTATTAACCTCAACTCTTAAAATTCAGTTTAAATATCTATAAATAAAAAAAAATTATAAAAAAATATATAATTATTATATTAAAATTATAAAAATATAATTAATATTTTTTTAATAAAATTTTACTATTATTAATTACTTATCTTTATGATTTGAGTCCTTAAAGTTAACAAAAATTTATAATAAATTCAACTACTCATTAACGTCTTGTTCTTTATGTATGTGCAAGAGAAGAGAGGTTTCTGTCTTGGTTCTCATTATATCAAGTACGAATGGACATCTCCAAGTGCACCACCAATGCAACCTTGCCATTAATTTGCATTATGCTCATCTCTCCTTTCACCACTTTTCATTTGTTCATAACTTTTTGGCTTACGTCATGCTTACTTCTAGAACCAGTACTTGTTTAGGGATCCTAAATTGTTTTATTATTTAACCAATTTTATTTAATAAAAGAAGACTTAATTGCCGATATTTTATTTTTATTTTTTTATATACACGATCTTAAAAATATAATGTATGTAATATAAAAAAGACATTGAAAAATATCACCTACTAACATTTTCTTAAATCGATCTAACGTGTGAGTAGCTTTTATGTAAATAATAGTGAAATGCATTCATGGTGCTCCACCGTGGCTTTTCCCCCCCCACATTTTAAATTTTTAACCAAGTTATTACTTAGTTTGTTTGTTGCTCTTTTGGTTTCAACTTGTTTGAGGAGACTAGTTAGCATAATTAAGCGTAGGCTATTCAATAAACTAGGTTTAGTAGCTTAAATCATCCATCTACATTTGCAAGTGTGAAAACAGGTGGGGAAGATTGTGAGGGGTTATCGCCTATCTTACGTTAAGCATAAGTTAGGTCGGGTTATTTAGTCTTAGAGAAGTTAAGTCAATGTCTTTTTAAAATTATATTTAGTTATGAAAATTAATCTTTCAGATTAGCGTAATTTTTTTTTTCAAATTTAATATCTTGGCTTATTTAAATAATATATTTTATTATTCTTAAATATTAATAATAGAATAAGTTTCGAATTTAATATTTTGAGATTAAAATTTATTAACTTAATTAAATATAAGTTTAGATTTCTTAACATATTTTAAAAAATATTTTTTCGTTATGTAAAAGATAAAACTTTATTACACTTTTAAGTTAGGTTAAGCTTTAAAAAAAAGTCAACTTTAAGTCTTAAAAAAAGCCTACAAAAGAAAAGTGACTCAATGTAGAATTTTTTTTTTAAAAAAAAAAAGAAGAAATTTTGTTATATTTTTTCAATACTCATTTGTTTTTCAAACATTATCAATTTCTCTTTAATCATCAATAGTGGTAACAAATTTTACATTAAAGGTTTCCTAGTGATAATATGGCCGTTCACAAATTTTGCACTAGATTTAGGAATATCAGCTTTTAGCGTTGTTTTCAAAAGGACTATTTAAACAATTAAAAATAAAAAATATTTCCTATATAAAAATTATAAAAATTTACTTTTAGGTGTTTAAAATTAATTTTAAGGTCATGGATTTTAATAAAATTATTAGTTTTATAAAATTGTGTTGGCTTTTCTTGCGCGCGGAGAGAGAGAGGTTATGCTTGGAAGCATATGTTCTGCATATCTGGCAATATAAGAAGTTCCTTTCGATGAATTTCGTTAAAAGATTGCACTGTGGGCAATTGAATTTTATACAGGTGAAGTTCTGAAAAATATATATGTAATATTCTTCTACTAATCGAACTGAATGATTTCCCAGAAGTGTGAATCTTTTTGTGCAAAGACCCTATATACGTGACATCAACAATTCTGAAGTAAGAACTAGTGAGATGGGAAGCTAGGAAGTGTCAGCTATTCCTACAGTTTTTGGTGTGATCATGCACACTTGCCAAACTCAATTTGAAGTAGACTTATATGTAGAGACATCATTCAATAGTCTTTGCAGGTATTGCATTCTTATAGTTTGGTGACAAAATTCGAATCATCATTAATTTTTCAGTGCATCTAATCAGTTGAGCATATTACAAGTGTGTGGACGAAAACTCAACCAGAAAGCTTCAACAGTTCCCTATTGGCTACTTGGTAGAAGGCCATGTAATGAGGATGAAACAGATGATAGGCTAAGCCGTTTTCTGTTTCTTATTTTTTTTTTTTCAAATTTCAATTGACATAAGAAAAAGTTGATATCAATTTTTTATCAATAAAAATATATTTTATTAATATAGAGTATGAGAAGTTCTTCAACTTTTAAAACAATACATATTTATCACTTTAAATGTTATATGGAATTAATATACTACCGAGAAAAAGGAAAAGAATGTCGAATTTTTAAGGTGAGCCAAGATGTAACCTTTTGGATACTCTAACCTTTATAACATCTAACCAAGACCCAGATCGAACCTTTTTTTTTATTTCAAAGTGTTCTCAAACTTTTGTTTTCGACTACTTTTGTTGCAGTCTTTAGGGGAACTTATGTTTCTTCTGCAGGAGGACCATGTATTTGCTGCAGTTTTGGGCCCTCCCGTGTTTAATCACACGTGTTAATGTAATCAACTTATAAATACTTGAGGTAGCTATCTAGGACAAAATAATTTGTTGTTATGTTTAATTTGATGAATAAATAGTGGTAAAAATTTTGTTTCAATAAGCTGGGAAAAGGAATACTCAGGAGTGATTGATTCGTATTTGAATGTTAACTGTAGTTTATTGACACACATATTGTATTAGTTTTGGTGAGACTGTTGTAGTTTAAATTTCTTTAAATGAATTTTTTTTAAGTAAATTTAATAAAAAGTAATTTTTATTTAAATTAAAAAATTTACTTAAATTAAAATTGTAAAATATTTTAGAATTTTAATTTTTTTAAACTATAACAAATTTAAATAACTTTTATTTTTTATTAATGACTATTTAATTATTAAAGACTTTTGTATATATCATTTCATGCAATATTTCAAATGTATTGTTTAGTGTACTAAACATTAGTGAGTGTAATCATTTGAAATTGAGTTAAGTTGTTGAGAATGATGATAAAAATGATAAAGATGATGATTTTGATAAATTAGTTAAAAAATATTTATAGTATTATATAATCTGAGATTCTTAGATTTTTATGGTATAATAATTTATAATTGATTATTTTTTTTGAAAAAAATACAATGAAACCAAGAGTATCGAGAAACTTTTAATTAACATACTGTTGTTCTTCACTTTTTTAAAGAGGTCCTTTAAAAATGAAATTATTTGTACATATATGACTACTAATAAATGACAAAATAATTTTATACAAAGATTTCTTTAATTCACTGAAGTTTAAAAATGAATAAGCTCGAAGGTCTAAAATATTTTACAACTTTAGTTTAAGCAAAAGTTATTTTTAATTAAATTTATTTAAGAAATTTTTTTCTTGTAACAAATTTAAACTACAAGCTGTAATTCTAGTCAAAATTGTATTCCTTAACACGCAAAAGTATGTTATCCAAAATACCTAACACTTCATGAAGAAATACAGTTGAATGACTTGATCATAATGCAAGAATTAACCCCCAAAATGAATATACTCAACAATTTCTCTTTTTGGGACTTTAGACATGCATGTCATATTATATCATTGGTATATAAATATAGACAATATGCTTCTTTTTTTTCCTTCAATTTTATTTTTCTGTCGTAGAATAGAGTGAGATCTGAATTGATTATGGGTAAGGAAAATTAACAGGGAATAATCTTTCGGTTAACCTGGCAGTGATCATACTTTCTTGATGACCTATCAAAATCCAACCTTCTTAAGATCTACAATTTAATCTACTAAGAATGATAATAAATATGGAATACTAGCGTTATACCTTTTTCACATACTTAGCACGAGTTCACTTTACGAAATTTAACCAATAATAATGAAGACTGCTCTTTAAAGATAATAAACAAAATCATATTACTAGTATTTCTCATAAAAATATACAAAAAGTTATAATTAATCTGCGTTAATAGTTGGCATAAAATTAATCTTTTAAAATAATTTTGAATATGTAGTTCTGCAATGTTTTCAGTACATAAATAGACTGTCACAAGCTTTACAAAAATATTATTTAAAAACAAATAAAATATATATGTTAAGTATTCAGATTATTTTTATCAATATTTAATAAAAATTAAATTATTAATATAGATATTATAGTAATATTTGATGAGTCAATAATATATATTATATAATTTTCTATAATAACAACCTAATTGTACGTTACTATAATATCATGCTCTTAATATTAATTTGTAAGATGTTCGTATTAACAGTTTAATTGTTTGTTAAACAAAAGCTACATCAATGAAGATTAAATTAACACTAATTTATTATTATGTGAAATTTTTTTATGGACTTAGATCTATTCATAATATATATAATTTTAATCAAATTTAATTAATAAATTCTGTAATTAATTATTATAAATCTTTATTTAACAAAATTTGTAAGTTTTTCTAACATAATCATATCATTTTAATTGACAATAAAAAATATACTCATCTTTGTAATTGAAGAACCAAATTACCGGTTTATGCATTTGAAGGCTAAAAAAGACGTGTTTACTAGTATAACCCATGCATTACACTAGAGAAATAGTTACTTTGACCATGATATATATTTTATTCACTAGACCTTAATTTATAATTTTCCAAGATTGAGCAACTTACGTGTACATTCACATACTATATATTTGACATGACAAATTTTTCACCTATACAAACATCCTCTATACGCTGGTGTCCAGTAATCTGGTCCACTGCTCTCTCTGTAAACTAGAGGAGTACATGAAGTAGGAACCAAACAAAGACCTCTACTCCGAAGGTCTAGCTTTGTGTCCTCCTTGTCTTTTCTATCCAAGCTTCCCCATGGTTCCTTCAATCCCATGAAACCAACGTCAATAGGGTTAATTATTGCCAAGAGTGAAAATCTATGACTTTTAAAAGAGACGGAGAATTTTCTTACCTTGTGAGCATTAGTCTTCAAGTAAGGGTTGCTCAGTAGCTGCAAAATATTCATGAATTAATGTAACTGTAAACTCAGCTAAAGGAGTGCGTAGCGCAGCTGCTATTAGGTTATAGGAAATTTAAGTCTTTATCGTACTAATTAATTAGTCATAGTCAAGAAGGATAATTGTATTAGTTAGTTATGGTTAAAATATTTTGGGGGGTTTAAACTGCATCTTTCTTCCACGTTGTTGTATGTTGGAGATATCCAGTGATTAAGCATTAATTTCTAATAAGGTTATCTTTAATTTATTTTATGTTTCATAGTGCATGATGCTCATGAGATTGAGGAAAATGTGCAATGGTTCAATGTACGTAACATACTTTTATTCTTTTAAGACGGAATTTATCCAAGACGTCTGCTTTCGTTGGCATTATAAAAGATATGAAGAAATTAAGAAACATGAACAATAATTGTATATTATATAGTTAAATAATGCAATGAAAGGAAACTTTTCCATAATGGTACCCACCTGGACTTGTTCTTGAAGAAACTTTATGTATCCTATTGCTTCAAACAGCACAGATGCTGTATCCGTCTGAAATTCAAGAGAGAAATTGATTATTATGAAGTAGGTAGTGAGAAAAGTAGAGCACTTATTCAGGGTATATATATAAAGAAGAGGAAAAGAAAAAGGGGCCTGTTAGTGCAATGTGTAGTAACCTTTCCAAATGGAGACACAATTTGTTGAAGGGCTGTGATCTTGTCCCCTAGCTTGACTTTGGGGGCCTGCACCTTTTAAACAAAAAATAGAAGTTTCTTAACAGTGCACAAAAGTAGGTTTCCCACTTTCTGCTTTTCTTTATATTCATGTTAATGTATGGTATTTTATATATATATGTACCTTTGAAGAAGCTGTTGATGCATCTTGCTTAGGCTTTTTCAAGATGGCTTCAGAAGATTCTTCAGATCTTTTCTTCTTTACTTCACGTGTTGTCCCCTCTCCTCTTCCATTAATAGTTCTTATCTGCATCATTTCATATGATACATATTTCATAAACAAAATTATGCAAAAGCTTTGTGATAAGCCATAATAATTGGTTTATAACCTCACCTGTGACGGTGTCTGAAGACCCTGCTTCTTTGATTCAGTTAAGTTTAAGTACTTCATTCTAGGCTTCTGTGCATGGATTCCAATAACTGGCCTTCCTAGTCGACTATTGAAGGATATGACATCTGAGAAATTTCTTGTGCATGAAGAAAGATTGGGCAACCCATGGTAGAATTTGCTACTCTCTCCTACTGAAGGACTATTAAATCCATTTTGATATCCATTTGTATTTAATGATTTTCCAAATACTGCTCCTGGCACTTCACTTGCATGATACTCTTGCTTGACCTTCATGTCATGATCATAGCAAGGAAGCATTCCAGAATTTCTACTTGCTCCTCCAAGAGAACATGATGTGGAGTCTCCAAAAGGCTGCTTGAAGTGATCAGATTGTGGGAAGTGATCCATGGAAGAACTCATAGACATGTTGTTTGTTTGTGGATCAAAGTGGCCACTAACTTCTGGGTCTGGTGGGGCAATAGACCAAGTGCTTACAAGATTAGATAACTTGGTCAACCTTTCATTATTCTCAATCATCGCCTCGCTAAACCCATTTAAATTCTTCTCAAAGCTATTGAATGAAGCTGAACCACTATATTCCCAACTGGTGTCAAGTTTCTTCAAGTAGTCACAGGCTGGTTGAAACATAGTGTTTGTAATGTTTTTTGATGATAGTGCATCCAGAAAGTTCTCTCCAATTTCTTGGCTGTTGTGCAACTCGCCATTTGATCCAACACCTCTATAAATTATTTGTTTAAAAAAATTAGTTGTAATTAAACTAAATGAAAAACATATCAAATCAATATTAATATTTCGTGCACAAATTACGAAAAACTATTTCATATATATATATATATATACACACACACACAAGATTTCAAAGATAATAAAACAGATATATTACAGTTATATAAGTTGTATACCTTATAGCTAGTGTCCAAGAGGGGTTTTATTGGTGTGAGCGAAAAGAAGAAAAACAAAGAAAATTAAGATCATAGCTTTATAGTATGAACACACAGACGATTTGTTGACTGGAGTAGCGCACATAACAGCTGTTAGATAGTGGAAAGCAAAAGTCTAGAAGATTATTATGAAAATCAAACATATACAAGTACCTTAACCCCTTCATAATTAGGACTTACATATACATATTATCCATGCCTACCGCTGTCGATTATAAAGCCATAAACATCGAATTATATTTATTTTTATAAGTACTCTAAATACTCTCATTCATATTACCTATATTTATTATTCCATTTATTAACTTATTGTAAAATCATTACTAACATACAAACTTACGATAGAACATGACTCCAAAGTTGATTATCTGAAGCATGTTCTCCCATCAACTCGTTGGAGGAAGGTGCAGGTGGATCAACGAGTCTACGAGAGGATTCAACAGTGAGGCTTGAATGGTTGGAAGCATTAGTGAAAGATGTGGAAACAGATATATCCTCCTCACCAGAAGAGGAAGAATTAGGGTTTGGTTGGTTGTTCCATGCGTTATTAGTATCGTTCCAGGAAGAAAGAGAATTTGCCTGGAGATACCACCAGTTTAGAGGGGCAATAGTGGTCGCAAGTGTGTTCCCAGCACTTTCTTCAGTCATTTCTCTCTCTAATATCTCTCAAAATTTTCCTTCTTACTCTCCCTTTTATTGGTGGAATGTAATGGAGCTTGCTAGGGTTGGATATATAACTCTCTTTGTTTCTTTGTTGTTGTGGTGGGGATTGCTCCATTTTCAGTGACGTATAAGTTTGTAGGTTATATCAATTATAGGGGAGACAATAAAATATGCAACCTGAGTTTTTCCACTAACGTTCGTGGGCAATTATTATATAAGGGGATGGGCCAGCACGAGTTTGGCTTAATGTTGGTAAGCATGGTATTTGGGGCTGCTAGTTTTATCATCAATATATAAAGCTTGGTTACACATTAATTTTGTTTTGTATTACTTTCATGTTAGATAATGAAAATTATACATCATCTCTCTCTCTCTCTCTCTCTCTCTATATATATATATATATATATATATAAAGTATAAAATAGTAGAAAATATATTGATTCACAAAAAATAACAACTCTTAATATTATTGGTCACAATATATCTAGCTTGCACTTCCTTTCCTGTCTTTCGTGATGAGTATTACCGCTCATTCCATGGGAACAAATGGTTTTCTTTAAATACAGTAAAAATTTAATAGAAATTAAACTTGAATTTTCTAATTTGTTAAATAAATGATATAATCGTTTAGAAAAGTGAAATATAAATTTTTTATTGAATAAGAACTCACTATAATTAGTTGTAAGATCTATTCATTAAATTTAATCAAAATCATATATTTTTCTTTTTAATATTTTTATATCATATTATTTAATAACATGAAAAGATCCAACTTTATATAAATTAACGTTGGGTCTATAAATAAGAGCAGAAAGTGTAATTTCGCATACAATTATTCATGCTTATGTTATGTTTATAATTACTTTTTTATCAAAAAAAAAAAAAGAAGATGGGATCTACCAGTTCTAAAGAACTACATGTAATCCCCATCCTTGGCATAGTATAGTTTATAAATATGGGTGTGGGGTAGAAATTGGGCAGATCTAATGAAGTTCTTTTGCGACGATTTTGACCCAGTTTGGTTTGAGAGTGGAGATAAGTTATGGTTCATGAGAAGAACTTAATTTTAAAATCCTTTTGTTCAGAAAAGGTAAGAAAGTAATTTTTTAAAAAGTTTATAAGTACTTATGGAAAAATAATTAGATCAAGAAAACTTTTGAAAAAGTTAAGTGTGTATAGCAATAGGTTTGGTTTAATTTGTTTTTTATAGATATTTATTAAGAGATTTATTTAAAACTTTTTTTTTGAGAAATGTAAGTAAATAAGCTTATACAAGAAAAAAAAAATATTGAAGCCAGATTTTTTAAGTCTAATTAATGGATTTGACTCCTGTAAAGTGAGAAAATAAGAATATATTTACTGCATAATTTTAAGTCAATTATATCTACATATTTCAATGAACAGTGAATATAATCTTCCTTTCTCACTTTGCATTTTTCCTTAGTTTAGAGGAGCTAAATCCCTAATTAAAAGTTGAAAAATGACGTGTTACTACTACTTACTAGTTATAACCATTAATCATTGACATCCCATGCTCTGTTTTTGGACTCGTTGAATATATTTTTCATGTCCATTTGACTAAATTGAGCTTGTAGAACCCACCAGTAGCAATGTAGGTGCTGTGTGTGAGGAAGGATCAATTTTCCAAACACAAACCTTATATGTCTGTTTTTGGGGTCAAATGGACTTTGCTCACCACTCAAAAGTGCCCTGGGCCTTCATTTGTTTTTCCTGGTTGCAGGCACTCAAACTGTTATATAAACAGGCATAGAAAGAGTTGACTAAAAAATAGGTAAATAAAGAGCAATAATTTTCATTTGACACACTATAAAATAATCATTTATTAATACCTTTTTATTCAATTAACATGTAAATTTTCATTAATAAATTTTCATTTGACACACTAAAACAATCATTTATTCAAATTCAACCAATTTTTGTGGCATGTTGGTATGGTGGTAGATTTTTATTTATTTATTTTAAATATTTTTTTTTAAACATATCTAATTGAAATAGAATTGAGTTATTTTTTAATTGATTAACTTTAAAACACTTCCAGTTTAGTTTTAAAAAAAATAATTTCTTTTAATATTTAACTATAACTTTACACCATTTAATTTTTACTTGTTTCAAAAGATACATATACTATTACTGTTATTGTAGTTACAACTTTTAGTACTATCACTGTGATACTTGCCACTATACCCACCATTATTTCTCATCAAATATTATCATTATAATTATTGTTATTGTTATTAGTGTAATTATCACAATCAACTAACACCATTATTACATTATTATTACTTTGGTGTTGTGTTATTTATTTTTGTGATTATCAATTATAAACTCTAATCAATACAAAAAGAACCAAACTTTAAAAAGTTTTAATGATTTGAATTTATAATTTAAAATTAAAATTCACAAAAAAATAAAAACTAAAAAACACCAATACTAACCTCCAAAGCCATAATCAAAATTTCTCACATCTTTTGACATAACAAGACAAAGAACTAAGCTCAATTCAAACCAACCCAACTCTGTCTCGAGGTTCAGGCCCATAAAAAGTTAGCAAAGGCAAGAAATCTGAAGCCAATTTCTAGTCCCCATTCTTACCAAAAATGAGTCTTTAGAGCAGAGGCACAATTCCATTTTTTTAATCTCATACCATTATAATTTTAAGCAACTATTCAACGAAACCTACCTCTTTTTTCCTTCCATGTTTGACATCATAGCCTCATAGGAAAGCTAGCAAATGTGATGTAAACTCCGACCATAAACTAGAAACATCGTTCTTCAATATGCTTATATTATAATTAAACACTTTGGGTGAGTACCACCCTTTGCACTTACCTTAATTTCAACCACTAGTTTTGGGGAAAAGTTTAACTAAAAAGTCTAGTAACAATTGATATGGTAATAAAGCTAACATCACATATTCCAGTTACAAACTTACAATCCCGTGTTGCAGCCACAGTTCTTGATTAGAGCGCAATGCACATTCCTGTGGGTGCAACTAACATAAATATTTTAATCTGCTTAATTAATTGTGGAAGGTATACCATATTCCTTTTATCTTCACGCATTTGGAAAGATTTTAATAATTAAATAATATTTTCAAATTATTTTTAATTTCTAAAATTATGATAATTTTTAATTAGTATATTTAAATTTGAATTATAAGTATAAAAATTATATGCTGCTAATCCTTATAATTGGTAACAGATAAAAATACACTGTTTTCATTAAATACAGAAACTTAAATAGCTATTTGACCTAATTAAATACTTGTTAGATCCAGTCTTAATATAAATATATAAGCACATAAGCTTTATCCCCTGAAGTCAATTCAAGTAATTAAACTCTTGCAAGGTATACATACTTGTAAGACATATTATAAGCTTTCCTTAACAAATGGATGTGTGTGTACAACCACACACGTACATAAGCTGTGTTATTTTTATAGGATTCAATTTTATCAACTGCAGAGTAATTGACCAAAAACCTTATAGCCAAAAATCAAGGAACTAATCAAATAATGAAGAAGATGTACCAAATAATCATTACTTAGTTTTGTACATATTGTGGTTAATTTCAAAAGAGTTTGACCTAGCCAATGTACTCTTTGAAATTGTAGGGGGTTTTAAATGGATAGAATCCTTGAATCCTAAAATTGATTTAAAAAGAACTCATGAATTTGAAACTTAATTGGTCTTTGACTCCGAAATAGAATTTCTTGCTCCACCATCAGAAAGTTAGATAGGTAAGAAATGCGCGTGTGCAACATGAGTTAAACAATATATATAGAGCTTCGTAATACATGAAACGTTTTATTTTTTGTTAACCTACCACCCCACATCCATGAAAGTACGTAAGAATAAAAGAAATGTGGTAGGCTGGTGAAAGTTACAATTTTATTTTCTCCTTAAAAAACATAAATTCAAGTGTTTTCTTTATCTGTGAATTGAAGACCATTGGCTCAACCAGAAAGTAACCTTTTAGTTCCTGCACTAGCCACACCACTACAAAGAGATGTTCCTGAGCCACATAATCCATTCACTTTACAATGAAATTAATTAATTAAGATAGAAAGCAAGCCATAATAACCAAATAATTAATCAGTATACTTTAATAGCTGTATTTTTATTTTGAAAGATATAAAAGTTGGATAGGAGACCATATATATATATACGTTAAGTTGATAGGTTAGGTGGCTTTATTTTAATATCATGTCCATTTGTCATACTGTTCAATTAGAACAACTGATAACCATGAGAGGGATAGCTAATAGTTTAATAGTTTGGTCTAATGATTTTTAACTTGTAGCTTAAGAAATGTAATTCGCTTGTGCCACGGGGAAGAAAGCTGCGAATTCCATGACAGGGACGAAAGGGGTTGCAAATTTCCTTGTGGAAGATGTGTCTGATACAATAGGTGTATTAGATTGAAAACTATCATGGTATATATTAATTATTTAAACTAATGATATTATAAAATGACATTTATTAAGAAAAACATCTATGTTATTGTTATGATTGTGTCTTTATTTAATAAAAATTAAATTATTAATATAAATATTATATATTTCTAATATGCCAAATATTGATGATTCATGGTCACAGGTATATGTGAAATTTATGATTATTTGAAACCATATGAAAACAAATATATATATATATATATATATATATATATATATATATATAATTTTGTGCTAATTACACAGGTTTTTCCGTTCTTAGAGTTTATTTCTAGTTTTTATAATTTTTATTTTTATTTTCATTTTCTTTCTACTCTAGCTTGACTAATTCCTTTTCCAATAGATTCGTGAGATCAAATATGCTCCCGGTTTCCAAATCAATTTTAAAAATATCTCAGCTAAGTGTGACTATTTTAAAAAAATATTCTATTCTTATATTTTATTTTAATAATATTTTAATGTATTTTTCTTTATCTATGTTTAATTCTTATATCACTCATTTTATCTCATACTTTCTTTTCTTCTCTTTTAATCTTTCC